GCTATACTTGTAAGTGACCAGATGGAGGCCTTTCCCTCTTGGACTTATGTGAATGTTTCCATTTTTTATAATAAATGAGCAAGTATGCTATTATCAATACATAGGAATGCATGGGGCTTCCAAGGTAACATTCTATTTTTTGTGCAGGTAGTAGTTTATGATCATTATTTAAAATGTATATATTTGTGTTTGTATAAACTTTTCAAGTATGTCTCATAATGAAAATATTTGGAAATATATATATTAAAAAATACTAAATAAAAAAACCCAAGTTGCTGGGTCGGCAGACCAGGGGGCCGGGCTTGAAGACTGAGTCTGGTCCCTGACCTGACAGCTTTCCAGCCTGGGCTGAGTCGCTCAGTCTTCTCTGGCCTCAGTTTCCTAACCTGTGACAGAATCCCTGTTGCACCTGCCTTCTGGGCGGGTGGGGTTAGGGAAGAAGTTACAAGCACAACCATGTGTGGAACTTCTTTTTGAAACTGAGAACATGGTGCACAGAGGTGAAGGTGAAGCAGTCGTGAGTCATCGATGCCCTGAAGAGGCCAACCCGGTGTGCACAACCATGATGGGGCTCCATGGGGGAGTATTTTCCAGATGCTGCTAAGTCACCAAACGCAGAGGGAAGGGGTGTTGCATTTCCACTGCTGTTATGGCTCAGCAGTGTAGACGTAACTACAATGATGTTACTTTATTTGTTCAACGAGTGCTTCTATAGTGCTTGCTTTTGCCATGTACTGCTCTAAGTGCTTTAGAAATATACACTCATTTACAACCCTGAGGCAGTGGCTGTTAGCGTGGTCCTTTCATGTGGGAGAAGATGGAGTCTCAGAGAGGTCAAGTAACTTCCCCAAGGTCACACAGCTTAAGGGGTGAGTGTCTAAGGCAGTCTGAGCTTTCTCCTTCCATCCTCTCGCTATTCTTCTTGCCCCATCAAATATGACCATAGAGTTCCTTATGCCAGATTATTTATCTCAGGGGTGTGAGATTTAAATTTTGGGATGAAATCACATGACTGACTTCAATTCAGGATTTTGGCAGAGTTTGGTAGCAGGGGCTGGGTGGAGAATTAGGCTGATCTGAGCATCTGAGCACCAGCCAGTTGATTGCTATGCAATAGCTGTGTGACTTTGGGCAGGTCACTTCTCTGAGCCTCAACTGAGACTTTCTGAGCTTCGGGCAAGTTTACCTACTGTAACAGTGTTGGCATCACGTCAGGCGGGCAGTCAGTGCTTTTTTAAGTCTCATCTTCTCCTTCACCTTTATCTTAAACAGTGAGTTTAGGCTTCAGAATTCAGAGAGGAAGGCCTATTCCTGTCTTTAAGGCAGTGATTTTCAAGTGGAGTGCCATGAGAGGATCTTAGATGCATGTGCTCCTAAAACTTGTTAAAGATTATTAACTAAATTATTTAAGTAATTATTAAGTATATTCTTTTTTTCACTCTTTATTTTTTGGTCAGCATAATTTAAGTGTGCCCTAGAAGTATAGGTTCAAGTGTGCCAGGAGATAAGAAAGGCTGAAAAACACTGCTTTAAGAATTTTGCAGAATGGCCGAGGGAGGGATTGGGGACCGTTCTAAATCAGGCATCAGGCAACCTGAGTTCTGGCCAGGCCTGGCTCTCATCTGCCTCAGAGACCTTGAGTAGGTTTCCTGCTTCTTTGCTCCACTTTGTCATCTGTACATAGGGGCCTGGACAGGTCCTACTCCGAAGCCCTATCTCTCTTGTCATCTTCTGGTTTGTCATATTTGGGTCGGGACAAGCCCATGCCACTCTTACCAGTGCTCCCAAAGGCTTCCTCCCTGTGGTGCTCTGGGAGACCTCTTGGGGCTGCCCAGAAGTAGGGATGGTGGAGATAAAGACAGCCTCCCATTCTGTCCTCTTCACCTGCCAGGACCAAGAGTGACAGATTAGGGAAGTGAAAAATGAGTCAGAGGCGACTCTTCATTGTGTTTGGGTGGTTGCGGGAGCCAGAGTCTTAGTTCCTGGCTGAAAGGTACCCTCCTTGAAAAGAGGCTGGGTGTGGATGGCCAGTACCTGTGCTCTGCTGGGTACTCAGGCAGCTTGGCGCTGGGGTGCTGAGAAGCGGAGGGAACAGCAGCCAGCACCATCCACAGCATCTTGCAGCCTCCTGGAGAGGTGGGTGTTTGGGCAGGAAGGTGGAAGGTAAACTCCTGGGACAACCCGTTCTGCTCACTTTTCTGCTTCCCTGTACCAGTGCTATGGGCTGAGAGGCAGCTCCATCCCCTCAAGTTTAAGATCTTTATGAAGGGGTTAATGTGCTGAGATTCCACAGCAGAATTGCACTTAGCAAGCCCATTGCAAGAAGGGCAGTGATATGGATCCTGTTTCAGTTCTGGGCAAGTTGAATCCCAAAGCTAGCCAGTTTAAGGATTTGGAAGGGGCTTCTGTGGCTTTATTTTTTTCTTTGCCTCATTTGTTGATTTGCATAGATCTTTCTTATTATCCAGAAATTTTGAGACCTTTTGGAACTTAAGAGGCCTATTATGATTTGCCCAGCATTCATTGATGTATTTGTTTTTTTATTAACAATTAACTCATTCTGAGCATGGAGTGGAGAGGCAGAGACTATATAAGAAAATTGTACAGTAATGCGCTCTCCTTTAAAGGAAAATTCAGAGGCCAGGTGCAGTGGCTCACGCCTGTAATCCTAGCACTCTGGGAGGCTGGGGGGGGGGGCATCGCTTGAGCTCAGGAGTTTGAGACCAGCCTGAGCAAGAATGAGAGCCCATCTCTACTAAAAATAGAAAAATTAGCCAGGTGTGGTGGAAGGCTCCTGTAGTCCCAGCTACTTGGGAGGCTGAAACAGGAGGGTTACTTGAGTCCAGGAGTTTGTGGTTGCTCTGAGTTGTGAGCTAGGCTGAAGCCTAGGCAATAGAATGAGACTTTGTCTCAAAAAAAAGTTAAGATAGGATACCATTTCTTTTTCAGCTCTTGGTACTACAAGTTCATTGCCACGGTGCCCATTGCCTACTGACAGCTGCTAGCACCTCCCATGTCCTCTCAGTGGACTGCTGCCTCGATGCCATCTGAGCAGTCTGGATTGTTCCTGTTCTGACCACAGCAGCATGTTTAATTCAGAGGTTGCTCCTCCTTCAAATGTTTCAGCCATAGCTGCAAAACCTTCTCCTCTGCCAACCTGAGTGCTGCCACTCATGGCTGGAATATCTTTTTTGCTTTCACCCTTGGTTTTTGTGATAGAGCAGGATTAGCTGGTGAGAGAGGTGGCAGTGAGAAAAAAAGTGACTGTGACCTTGGAGGTGTTTCTTGATGTCCTTCACTCTGGTGAGCTCTAAAACTCATTTTAAGTCATTCATTTAGACTGTAAATTCACTAAAAAATAAGAGACTAAAATTACAGGTCCGTGGGTGCCAATGCAAGAAAGAGACCCACCTGAACAAAGCTGATCAGTCCCTGAGGCCCAGGGCTCTGCCATTCCACTGGGCAAGTCACATGGTCTCATTGCTTCCCACAGCGGTGCTGGGAGGTTGGCACTGGGAACAGCTGAGGACTTTAGACTCAGTGTGTCCAAAGTCACATGATGTGGAGAGTGGGCAAGTTAAGACTTGAACCCAGGTTCATGTTAAAGTCTTTAGCCATGAGGCCAGAATGTCTCCCAGGAACTGCTACAAGGGAAAAATTTCCTTACGCCCAACCCTGCAGGGTAAATTGGGTTCAGATAAGCCAAGAGGCCCAGGGAGACAATTCTGGGCAGGGGAGCAGTAGGCAGGATCAGAAGCCTGGGGGGAAGGACTAAGCATGATATGCCGTGGTGCCTGTTGGTTGTCAGCCCCACAGGGCAGAGCCACCATGGTCTCTGGCGTCATGGTTGTGTCCCCAGTGCCTGAGTGCCTGCCCTTAGCCAGTACTCAGTAAATATTGCATGAGTGGTACACCAATAGGCAGTTATCTTCCCCATGAACTGGGCTTTTTGAGGGTAAGGACTTGGTCTTAGAAACCTCTAGGTGCTCAGAGTGGTCACTACATAGTAAACACTCAGTGAGAGGGTCCTGACAGAATGAAGGAGCACACGGCGGGGAAGGGAGGGTGAGCGTTTGTGCCTGAGTGAAGAGTTGCTGATGCTTTGGGAAATACCAAGCACTACACATGGACTGGCATGGCAAGGCTGTACCGGGGAGTGTCTCCGATACCAGGACAAGGAATTTTTATGTTCTCCTGAAGGCATTTTTTAAAAGTCATATCTAGTCGGACACAGTGGCTCATGCCTATGATCCCAGCATTTTGGGAGGCCCAGGCAAGAGGATTGCTTGAGGTCAGGAGTTTAAGACCAACATGAGCAAACTAGTAAGATCTTATCTTTCCAAAAAACAAAAAAAGAAAAAACCAGGTGTGGTGCACACGTGTAATCCTAGCTCCTCAGGAGGCTGAGGGGACAAGTTCACTTGGGCCCAGGAATTGGAGGCTTCTTTGAGTTATGATCATGCCACTGCACTCCAGCCTGGGTAACATAGTGAGATACTTTCTCCAACAAAAGAAAAAATTGATCTCTTATTGCACAATATTGTGGGTTTCCGGCACCCAGACACTGCCCAGAGTGATGGGTACACGTGGGAACCAGGGTCATGCACAGCTCAGATATCGTTTTTCTGCAGCCCTGGCCTCAACCTGGCCACACAGTACTGTCTCCCCACTTTGGGATGGCCACACTGTTATGCCCAGAAACAAACCTATAAAAACTTAGGAATGGGAACCCTCAAAAACTAGATGCTATTGTATTACTGGATCCCGGAGTTGTTTTTAAGATAGTTTGGCTGGAAAGTCCCAGCCAACTTCCTCTAAGATGCAGTCTCTTCCACGGACCAGGAGTTTTCAGTAAAAACTGCCCTCTCTTTTCAGGTGTTGGCTAATTTGTGGTTTTAAGAAAGCCTGAGGGCGGGGAAGGCAACCCTGGGAGAAGCCCTTTTTCTGGGCGGTCGGAACCTTCTGGTCCTAGAGGCGAAGCTGAACCCTCACCTGGACTTATGACCCGCGGCTTCGCTCCCATTCTGCCTGTCGAGTTCCACAAGATGGGCTCCTTCCGCAGGCCCAGACCACGCTTCATGAGCTCGCCGGTGCTCAGCGACCTGCCCCGATTCCAGGCCACACGGCAGGCTCTGCAGCTGAGCTCCAGCTCAGCCTGGAACAGGTAAAGGAGGCGGCCGGGTGCAGGGCGGGGACATCTGGTCCCTGGCTGAGCTGCCTCTGCCCCTGGGATCTCTGCTTCTGGGCACTGTGATTCTAGGGGGCAAATGACGCTGAGAGCAGGTTTTCTTACATCCAGTTGTGCCCGATATCCTTCCTTATTTTAGTAGCAAAAAAGCAGATCACTGGCCCATGGGGCAGTTGGATTGGAATTTACTGTTCCTGTTCATGCTGACTGGTCAGACCCTACTCTCAGAGTATCTGACAGTGGACTCATATAAGTAACCCCCTTCACGCTTGGGAGGATAAGACGTGTATCTGTGAAAAGTTAAATGAGTGGCATAAATGGGACACTGTGTGTACCTGTGAGCCACAGGTGCTTGGGAGAGGAGATAGGAGTTTCATTAAGTGTCTAGATGACCTTACCGGCACCCAGGGCTGAGTGAAGACTGAAGCAGTATTCTGTCTTCTACTCTAGTGGACTACCATTTTTCAAATCTATGCAGATACTCTTCAGATACATTAAATGCATCATTATTTTAAAGCATGGCTGAATTCTTTGTAGTTTGGGTCAGTATGGATTCTTTTCAATGAACGAACACAGAAAGCACAGCTGCAATGTTGGTGATGGAGCGGGAACTCTGAAGTGTTTTGGTGTTAAATGGGTTCTTGTTCTTTAAAGAAGAGGCCTGGGCCCTGAATATACATAGGGTCATAAGCTCTGCTTTGCTGAAATACAGGGCTGGGGTCCCAGAGCCTGTGGAGGTAAGCCCGGTGGGACTAACCCCTACTGCCCGCACACCTCACAGGAGTGGGGATGGAATCGTCTGCGAAGGAAACCAAAAAGGAAAGGGGCCAAGCAAAGTGATATTAAAAAGTCAGGAACTATCACTGCATGTTCCCCCCAGGCCTCCCAGCCCCCCAGAGGAGACAGTGGCGTTCTGGGTGAAAGAACCCCTCAGAGGTCAGCTCCTGCTTGCAGTAAATGCCATTTTGGATCCTTCCAGGCCAAGTGGTGCTGGCCACATGGTTTCCTGAGTGCAGATTCCACTGCCTGCCCTTTATTGTCACCGCTCACCCCCAGGGCGGCCGGGGAGGTGAGGGAGGAAGGCCTGCCTGCCTGTAAGAAAGCCGGGGCCACTTCGGAGTCCTTTGAGCTTGTCTTCCTTCCTCTCCAAGAATGCTGAGAAGGAAATGGTAGGTTCCAGGGATGGGGAATGTGGCCCTGTTTGTGGCAGGGATTTCCGGGCCCCTCGGCCCTGAGCGGGCTTGTTGAAATGGCCCTGAAGGCAGATTCTCTGACCAGGTTTTTCTCTTTCCCTACAGTGTCCAGACTGCTGTAATCAACGTTTTCAAAGGGGGCGGCTTACAGAACAACGAGCTCTATGCGCTGAATGAAAACATCAGGTACGTGCCAAGCCAGCTCTGGTGCTGCTCCCCGTGGGCCGAGCTGAGGCAGAGGGGGCTACCTCCCAACCCAGGAGTCTTGCCTTGAGTTTTGCTGGGTTTTGTTTTTCCTGCTGGGTTCTTATTGCTTTTTCCGTAAGTTATTATGTTGCTCTTCTTAGATGTTGACTTTTGATCTAGAGATACTTTGTCTATTTGTTCATGTGTATGGTGTGGTTTAGGGGGCAGGAGGTAGCGGCTTGGTAGATGGTAGCTGTCATTTAGTCTGCTGTGCTGTGTTCGCCATTAGGCTCTGTATCAGGCAATGTGGCTTAGTGGTTGGAACCAGAATGCTTAGGAGTTCATTGCTATTCTTTTACAAAGTGGCTTACCAACAAATAAAGTTGAGTGTCTCCCTGTTGGCCAGGCAATATAGAGGCAAATGTGGAACCTGCCCTCTTAGAATTTGCATTGGGATGATAGTCTCATGCATAAATGTAAAAGTGCAACTGAGACAGTTGATGGGATGAAAGCATGTGTTTGTGTGACTTCATCTTACCCAGAAGGCATGGTGGTTATGATGCTATTGCTGTGATCTAAAGTGTCAGTGGGAATTAACCAGGTGAACAGGGCTCCAGGTGGTAGAACCTGCATGTGCAAAGGTCCTGGGGTTACAATGAGCAAGGAACCAAAAGAAGGCCCACCCAGATATGTAGTGCCCCCAGAAGTTGGGTTGGGTAGAGATGGGGTTAGGTTTGTGTTTTGGTGAAATGAGGGCAGAAAGTTGGGCAGGTCCCAGAGCTCTTCTTGATAGAAAGTTGAACCATCAGGGCTATTAATGCCCTGGTGTTCATTCCTCTGTAGGTGTGTTAAGTGCAGAACATCAAGGCTAAAGACCCCGCCCTGGAGCGGGCAGAGCAATAAACAAGGCCATTATTCAGGTCCTGTTTACGTTTAGTTAAGGCCTGTGTTAAGGGTAAATGAGGTGTTTTAAGGGCTCTGCTCCCCTTAAAACCTTTAGAGCTCATAAGTAAACAGAACTGTGTTAAATTTCTACCCATGTGCTTGAATTTCACATTATACTTTCATAAATTTAGAAAGGGACAGAAGTGATCACCTAGCTCAAACCCTCATTCTACAAAGGAGGAAACTGAGGCCCCCAAGAAGTTGAATGATGGGGCCAAAGTTAGGTCAGCCAACCCCCTGCTGAGAGTGCTCAATTTTCCTCCAAGAACTACTAAGATCCTGGCCTTTCCAGGAGGTTCTTTAGCTCACAATAGAAGTATAAATAAATAAAACAGTGACTCAGGAACATGCTAATTGTTTCTCACTTCGGGAGGCTGATCTTGAAATTATGCTTAAAAGCTCTGTTTGTGGGCAGCTAGGAGAAGTCTGGGCCAAACCAGATGTCACCGGCCCTGTTAACCCTGGGGCTGCTAAGTCTGGAAGCTTTCAGGTGCCAGGCAGCCCTTCTAACTGGGGACAGCTGGCCTGGGTGCCCAGCGGTGAAATCTCACCCTCTGTCAAAGCAGATTACCCCCGCAGGACACAGGTCCAGTGACATATTGTCTTATTTCTCAAGAAGAACCGGAAATTGAGAGTTTTATGTGAAATTTCCTGACTTTTAAATGTTGGTAAATAATCCAAATTTCCCCAAACATTGGTGCAGGCCAAACAAAACACATGTGTGGACTGAGTGGCCAGCAAACCTACCCGGTCACGGGACCAGCCTTACGTGCGTGGGAGGCGTTGCTACTGGGGGGTGAGTCCCAGAAATCGTGAGGCACCTTCTCCAGACATCAATGCATTCACCCTCCTCACAGCCCTTTGTTATATGGGTCCTTGACAGAGGAGAAAATTATAGGTAAGAGAAACTATCGACCTTGTCCAAGGTCACACAGCTGGGAACAGTGGGGCAGGATTTGAACTCCTCTCTGATTTAGACATCTGTTACAAGTCAGCATAGGCTGCCATAAAAAACACTGCAGAGTCGGTGGCGTAAACAACAGAAATTTATTGCTCAATGTTGAGGAGGCTGAAAGTCCAAGATCAAGGTGCTGGCCAGTTTAGTTACTGGCAAGGGCCTACTTTTTGGCTTTGTAGGCGGCCAGCATCTCAGCTTGTGCCCCTGTGACTTCTTCTTTGTGTTTGCAGGAACGAAAGTAAGCTCTCTGGTGTCCCTTCCTACAGGACACTAATCATGAAGGCCCTGCCCTCTAATGCTAATCATCCCTCAAAGGCCGGGTCTCTGTGTCTCACCATATTAGGGGTTAAGGTTTCAACATGCAAATTTGAAGGGACACATAGCAACCCCTTCATTCTTTACACTGTACTGTAACATCAGAGAGAGAAGATTTTTGTTGGGAGGAGGGTTGAGCTGATGGTTTCTGGTCTTTTTTTCTGCCATCATTCCTTTCTTGAGGCCTCTCTTATCACCCCCTGTGATTGACACCCCTCCTGAGAAGCCCAGCACTCCCACAGCCCTCTTTTCTAGGGTGAGAGGTAGGGTTAGGGGTTATGGGTTAGGGTTAGGGATGCCACTAGAGATTCCTCTCTGTTTTGTGTGATTTTTTCAGACTGGTGGCAAATGCCTGCAATTGGGGTTTGAAGCTATTAACATTATTTGCTCAGATGTGAATAAAACCCAGAATAAACCAAAGTTTTAAAAAATCCGAGCTTTCACTCCCCAGATTTCAGCACTTTCTATTTTCTGGCCTTCGGTCATATAGTGGCCAGAATGGAGATCAGCTTTCACATCAGGCTCAGAGTATAACTGAGAGCGTGAAGTGCATCCCAGGCAGGCGTTGATGTGACCTAGACATCCCCAGGTGAATAAAGCCATGACCTGCATGTGCTCCCACATCTGAAAGTTTCTACATGGAATTAGACGCAGCCGCCCTTAATTCAGTATCTAAAGCACTGAGATGGACATGCTGCTTTCTGGTTGCATTTGAATAGACCCTCAGATTTTTTGTTTGTTTATGTTTATCTCCAAGACAGAGTCTTACTCCGTTGGCCTTGATGGAGTACTGTGGTATCGCCTCAAACTCCTGGGCTTAAGCCCCCCTCTTGCCTCAGCCTCCTGAGTAGCTGAGACTGCAGGTTCCCAGTATAATGCCTGGCTAATTTTTCTGTTTTTATAGAGATGGGGTCTCACTCTTGCTCATGCTGGTCTTGAACTTGTGAGCTCAGGCAATCCACCTGCTTTAGCCTCCCAGAGTGCTAGGGTTAGAGGCAGGAGCCACTGCGCCCAGTCTGACTTTTGGGTTTTGATTTTCCTTTTCTCATCTTTTTCCTTTCATAAGATTTGTTTGTAGAATAGATCCATCAACTCAACAGATTAGAGGCATGCCCAGTGGGGAATGTGGTTGTAGGCACGGGGTAGTAGGAATGTTGGAAAGAAGAAATGGGAGGAGAGAAGGCTAAGTTGTTCTCAAGCCCATTTTTCAATCAATTGTGACAGTCCGTTTTGCAGGAAGATCTGTGCTAGGCTCCACAGAATTTTTTTTTAACATGGGAGAATAGCTTCTGGAGTCCGAGACTGGGGATCAAGATTAGGCTAGCCCTATGACCTTGAGCAAAGTTACTTTGTTTTTCTAAGTCTGTTTTTTCTTTGATAAAATGAGGGTAATAATAACAGCACCAACCTCAGGGTGGTCAGGAGGATTGAGATAATGCTAAAAGCATCCTTAGGACAGGATCTGGCATATAATAAATGCCTAATAAATGTTGGCCATTATCCCTATCACTGTGAACATTTAGGAATAATAAAGTGATGAATGACAGTGAATACCGTGCATGAGAACACAGGGCAGTGTGATGAATGGCTCTGCGCACTGCAGAATATAAGAACTTCTCCAGCAGTTTGGATGAGGTGAGCTCGCTTTGAACCGGAGAGTCTGGGACCGGCTCCTCAAAGAGTATGCTTGGCCCTGAAGTTTGGGTGAGGCGAAGTTCTAACCAGGAGGGCCAGCTGTTTCTTCTTTCCACAGAGAAAAGAACAAGAGGAAATGACTTTCTCAGTTCTTCATTCTACTCAAGCCAAGTGGTAATAAACTTGTTGATGGATTATCCAAGTCTGAAGCTGAAGCCTAAATTAGATTCCTTGGGCCGCCCATCCCGGCCATCCCTGGCCAGCTTTCTAGTTGTGGAGTCAGCGTATACCTAGGAAATGGGCACTTATTTAAGTGTTAGCCAATGCAAAAAGAGGAACAGGAAGGTAGCTGTTTTATGTAACTGGGTCCTGTATGCAGTCATTACTCATAACTGGGCTATTCTTTTGAGACATGTCATTGAAAAAGGACTCCGGTTTAAATTTTGGTAGACAGACTTTGAGGTTGCCATAAGGAAGAAGTTGGGACTGAGGATGGCCACATTGTGAAACGCAGTATTGGGTCCAAATACATCTGTCTCCACACTTTATAAATCAGTCAGAAATGTCGCACTTCAATATAGCAGCCAGTCTTCCTCCCAATAAAAGTCAGGGCGCACAATCTATCAGTATGAAAACCATCAATCAGAATATGTTCTAATGAAACTGCTTTAGAAAGCGGAACTTACTCGTTGTTACATCCCTGAAGGCAAGACAATGACTTTTCAGAGTAGACATACTCTGGCTAAATCTGCCAGTTATCACAGTCTGTATTTCTGGCACCCCAAAATTTCCATCTCCCACAGCTGGGGCTGACCGCGGGAGCCTTCTTGTTTGAATTCTCTGTGGGGTGCCGCTGTGGTTTCTAACGCCCCTCTCCAGCCTCACCCCTGATGTGGCTGCATTTTGGCAGTGAGGATGAGTCTGGTTAGAGGTTTGGGTTTCATGAGCCTTTCCAAGAACAAGGGTGGCTAAGCTCTGTGCCCCAGGAGCCCACACTCTTCCTAAACAGTCTTCTCGCCAACTCGCCTGCTGATTTTATGGGATCAAGAGGAGCTGGAAAAGTGTGGAGGGAAAAAACCCCAGGATTTATGTTTATTGGTTCATATAAGAACCTCTGCAAAGCAGGTTCTGTAGAAGTGCTCTCACT